ATGCATGTTCCAAAAAAGTGCAATCCATGCTATACAAAACAAAGAACTAATGCAAAACATAGAGTTAAGGCTCCAGAAGTTAGCAAAAATATATTATTCTTTTTCGTTACTAAGAGAAATTTGTTTATTAAAGCAATCAATAATTTATTTCTAATTAATTCCAATTGACAATCACAATTAAAAGTACTGTATTATGCGTTAATATTAATTTTAGTTAAACCAGGGCATTTTCTTTTTACAAAGTATCATCGTTGTCTCAGCTTTTTTGTTAATCTTTATCAGAAGTATCAGCAACATTTTCACATTTTTTATTTTTATCATAATCAATTTTTATGGATGACAAAATAAAAATATGCTATTAATTGGAAATTTATTCTAGCAGATCGCATTTGTTCAGTTGAGTACCAAGTGACTTTTTCAAGAAGTTGTGTTCAAATATTGAATTGTTCTAATACCAAGACATTGCTGTGTTTTGTTTGTCATTTTACAAATGATTACTTACCTACAGTTTAAAAAAAGTGTAATAACACTTATTTAAAAATGTTTAAATAAACTCTACTAAATACAAAGATTAATCTATAAAATACTTAACTGCACAACACTCAGGGATAAATATAAAATGCAACTCACATCAACCATTAATTAGTGTGAATAGGGGTTAACAGTAGAGGTTACGAAAATGTTTGTCACTCAAATGTTAATTGTATTTACATTGGTTAATGGTTGATGTGAGTTAATGACAATGACACCTGGTTGATAGAAAAGTTAAGAAAAGTTAATGCAATTTTTTTCTTTTTTGTCCTATCTCTTTTCATTAAAGTAAACCTGACTAAAAGCACAAAATAATTTGAAAATTTCAATATTCTAAACTGCATGGGCAAATTTGAGACAACATGCATGCTTGCTTGAATAAAAAAAAATATTGAATAATGAAGTTTACACTTCAAAATGTGAAATTTTGTATGGAGGATTTCCAAAACTGTGTTAGAGAAAACCAGAAGTCATGTTTATGGGGGATATCTCCAATTTTCAAAATGTGTAGAGCAAAACCGTGTTATAGAAGTGCTGTGTTGTACGAGGGATACCTGCATATATTCTGATATATTTTAAACACATTTAATAAAATCTTTCTATAGTAACTCTCTTCTTAGAATTTTCTATAAATTAGTTTGGCTTAGATCTATTTTTATTTCTGATGAAGTTTTATATCAGCAGCCAAAATATGGAACCAATTAAATATTCAGTGAACTATCTGTTTATAACTATATGAACTATATGTTTGTGTTGTTTTATAATTTTTTCATTATTAAGTTTTGAATGTTTAAAGTATTTGAACATTTTTTAAGTTAATATTTAAGTTTTTAAAAATTCTGCATTTATTTGTTTTTTATAGAGTTAACTCTCAAACAGCAGATATTTTACAACTAGGTAAGTATTTTCTTCTCTGAAAATAAAATGTTTTAATGTAAAATTGATATTATTTAAAATATAATAAATATTTTCATATATTAATACAGAAAATAAAGAAGAAAAAGAAGTTTCAAAAGAAATTGTTGAAATAAGGGTAACTTGATGTTTAGTAAAATTTTAAAATATTTGAAAGAAATAACAATAGAAATTTAAAGAAATTATGATAATGGCTTAAAATAGTTTTTAGACTAAAACTATGATTAACAAAGTTTAATCAAACACTTTTATAAAATTACCTGAAAATTAAATTATTCAAGCATTTTTGAACAAATAGTCTTTAAGAGTTGGTTTGTTTAAAAAAGATAACTAAAGAGATTATTGATTTTAATATTTAAAACCAACATTAAACAGTTCCAAACACAATCAAAATCTTTAACTATAGGGACAACTTACAATTGTTAAACAACATATCTATAATTGCTATTATTAATATAAACAACAAAAAAGTATATACAATTTAAGTATTTTTCTTTCAAACATTTTTTAAAAATATTATTCTAATTTTTAACTTGAATTTGTAAAGTTAAAATAATAATACCCAATAATAAAAAAGAATATACTAATATATTGGTACAATTACAAAAGAAGCATATTACTTTACAATAATAATTTTAAATTATGGTTTAAATAAACATGAAATTATTATTAAAATCTGATAAACTGTTTAATGTATTCAACAACTACTTCTAGGCAGAAAGAGAGATCACTATCTCTTGCATTCAGTACTTTACAAACAAGTCCTTCTTTTGAAAATTTTCTCCACAGTTCTTAAATACTCTATGATTGCAACTTATCTCAGAAATGAAATTAGTTTCTCAACTCCTGAAACTTACATTCCTTTTGTAAAGATTAGTTTTTCATACAAGAGCACCATGACTCATATCACTTGACTAACCTTTACATCAGCATCTGGAATGGGAAGATCTGGTTGTGCTGTAGAAAATAAATCATGTCAAAAAAAGGATATTAATAAGAACAACGAGATTAAGAACAATAATAAAAAAATATTTAATGGGATTAAGGATTAACAATATTAAATAAATTTTTTCCACAGTGAGCTAAATGATCTTTGTTGTCAATAATATTTTTAGAGTTAATGAATAAATATTTTATAAATACTCACAGACACCTTATGTGTTGCAGCAGATAGATTTAATGTAAAAAAACAAACAAACATTTTTTATCACTTTCAGAGTTTTACGCCAGGTTAATATCTTTGTTCTATAAATCAAATGTTGTTTTAGCAGCTTAAAAAAAAAGAAAAAATGAAACATTGTATGCACTATGTGATGATGTTCAAATTCAAAATATAAATGTGATGCATGATACATAATGATGATATATGATATTTTATTATATCATAAAAGTTTAACTATGCACATAACTTTCCATAATACAATTGGAGATAGACTATAAAAATTTTGTTAAAAAAGTTGTAACACACCTATTAATGTCTAGTGATTGAGGTGACAAAATTTACATCATTGTGTTAAGGTTGACTACCGTTGGAAGTAACATAACATTGCTTGCCACATTTGCACTGGATTAATATTTTCTTAAATACTACTTTATAAACTTTAATAGTTTCAATTATTTTTAGCTGTTATATATTGAAGGTGATGTGTAGGAGCTTAGACTTGTCTCAACATGGGGACACCCCGGGCTTGCTAGCAGATTGGGCCATAGCAGTGTTATAACTTATTTTTGAGATATCATACATATGCTCCCTTATTCTGATCAGTAATGATCTATTAGTCTAGCCTATGTATTCAAGATTTCAGTCAAATCTGATATCTAGTAATGGAATTTTAAATACACCTGGGGCTTGTCTGCTGTCTATAAAGTCTTTTCCATTGGTAAGTAAATGAAAGACTGACTTTATTTATATGCAATATTTTTGTTTACCTCCCTAGCTATTCTAGAGTATATCTTATGTAGCCTGGGATCATACTCTAGGGTTAGGTATGTCTGATTGTGGGTTATATGCTGCTTATCAGTTAATGTATTATTGACTATATTCAGTTCTATTTTTCTAGCTAATTTGGTGATGAGCCTTGTGTCGTAGCCATGCTTTGTGGCTATGTTGTTAATAAAGTTTATCTCTTGCACTGTATCTTTATTAAAAACTTTATTAAAAACATAGCTGGAGAACAAGATAAAGGAAGAACTAACTCCTACTGCACTGTACAGTGCTAATGAGACTAGTCTTTTTTTCAAAATGCTCACTTGAAGAATCCTTGCTGCCAAGAATGAAAAGGAAGCTTGTTGGTGTAAATGTTACCGCTAAAGCTCAAAATCCGTTAATGTGCACATTACCTAGCTAATCTGCAGATTTACTAGGGTGATCCGTTAAAGCTGCAAAAATTATTCCATTTCTCAAATTACCTAGGTAATGTTCAGATTATCTAGGTAATCTGCAAATTACCTACTAGGCACTCGGTAAAGTGAAAATAAGATTTTTGCTGGAACAACAGCAATGTTTCTGTACACTTAAATTAACATAATGTTATTTATTTAATTTTCAATATCTAAAGAATCAAGTTAATACAATCAACAAATTAGTTGATTGAATCAATCATCAATCAATTAAAAAAACTTTAATACAAAAATCAAACGGTTTAAAATAT